TGGTAGACTCGCGGCGTTCATATATAAGCAGTTTATGCTTCCAATTTGGAACGCGTGAGCTTCGTCCTGTTTTTCTGTATGAACCTTATGTGAATGGACAGGTAGCCCACCTAGATGAGGTTTGCCGAGGTGGTAGACCCTGTCCTTTACACGTTTTTTTATCGTTCAGACAGTCCACAAGTGGAATGGTCAGCTCCAACTTGCCTTTGTTCTTGGTCCTAACTTCGTATGGCCTATCCGGGTGCATGTGGATTCCAGGTGGCAATCGACGTCTATTAGCACGAAATGCTTCCAGAACTGCAGCCGCCATGTGGGAAGATGGGAAGGTTATCTTCATTAGACGGGGTCTAAGATCACCGTCCTTCTTGGCTAGTCTCGTCACATGCTGAGTCAGTATGTGTTTGAGCCTCAAGGACTGTTTGATGAATTTCCATTCCCTGATGTCAGAATTTGATTGAGTAGGGTCTGCATTTTCCGATATACCTTGGACAATTATGTTTCTTCCGCGGAAAAACTTCTCGCGAGATTCTTTAGGGACGTTTCGTATGATATTGCGCTCAGAGTACGGTATGTCGGGCAATATTCTTACGTTACCATCTGATTTCAGCAAGTGACTTGCTAGCATGACGTCCTCTACGTCGGTAGCACTCTTAAGTGTTACTCGGAGAAGCCTCGGATGATTTAGATGCTTAGAATCCTTTCCTCGAGTGAGCCGGGTGACCGTCAAAGGCTCTATTCTAGGAAGTTCGAGCTTCTTGTTCAATTCACCCCACAGCATCCTGTCGTTTTTATCCTGCAGACTGAGAGGAAGGTCAGGATTGTCGACGAGGTTCATGATAATGAGAGAATCGTCACGAACTGTTGTTAATTTACCAGGTTTCACGATGGGTTCAGGTTTAATAACTTGTTGTTTGGAGGTCAGTGTGCGTTTATGAATCTTGGGCTCTTTATTGACCGGACGAACAGTCTTGGGGGTAGACTGTGCGACTAAATCACCAGTTATTTTCCGTGCAGCAACACTTGGGTTGCTCGGCATAGGCGGTGATGCCTGGTTCTTTTGGGCTCTCTTAACGTGGGTCGAATCACCTGCAGGGTTTTTGGGAACCACTGTTGTGTTCAGGGACCCTGAGCTGGGAGACCCGAGTTTGCCTAGGGAGTCTAGTACCGTCGACGTAATGATGGTACTGAGCCTCAACACGTCGTCATTAGTGTTGATGGATGCTCCATCGATGGTATGCCTATCGACATCCCTATTTTTGAGTCCGTTGCACGCTCTTGTTTGTATATCGGTTTTTTTACTATCGTGTTCCAAGTTAACTGACAGCTTGTTCCGAAGACCTGTCAGTAGGACAATGATGTTACTCAGCAAGACTACTGCGTCCGTGCTGCACGTGACACATACCCACTTTCGGTCTGACTTGCTGAGTCTGTTGTAAGCAGTTGCTGTCAGATTTGTGCATGCTTCGTGGAACCAACCTTTGCAGTTGTCGCACTGCATGCCAGTTGTGACAGCAAAACGGCATCCCGGACGTTTGCATGAGTTTTTCATGACGGTGTTGAAGCAAACTATGTTATAGATGCTTGCAAGAGCCTAAGACCTTTTTAAAAAACACTAAAAAGCACACTAAAAACGGACAAAAATGGACAAAACGAGTGATATAAACTGAAACTAGTCTATACGTGAAAAACAAAAAAACCGAATAGTATGCTGAGGCAAAACCACAGGTAACTATTAAATATAGTGAAACTCAAAAAAGGTAATCTACCGAACGTATAGCTCAGGATAGATTCTTTAGAACTGAAATGGTACTTTTGTTGCGTAAGAACACAGCAAAAGTTTGATATATGCAAATCACGTTAGGACTAAACTTCCCGTTCTCGTGTGAGTGGTAGGTTGTCGTTCAATTAGGCGTGCGTCCATATCAGTTACAATCGATACTATGTAATCTGGGTGTTCAAGTACAATTGACGTGGTAACATTGTGTTTCATTGTATTGAGCGGTGTCTAAGCCATTTCATCCAGTTTGGTTGTTCATGAGCTCCCACAAATTTGGTCAGACAAGAGTCTCATTAAGGACATGTAATTAAGTGTTAATCTACGATGTAAACTAACCAGTGCATTGGATGTACTCGACCTGACAGTTATCGATTCCAAGTATTAGAAAACAGCAATTAATTTTCAACTCATCGTAGTTAATTTTTTTAGCGGTAAATAAATGATCGAAATCAATAGATCTGTACGGCTTCGACTTTTGACTACGTCAGCTTTAATAGACTCACCTACATGGAGGCACTTGGGTACGCCGTGCTTCACTTCTACAGCCGCTAGCCAGCTTAGATCAATCACTTCTCGATATATCGATATCCTAACAACTATATATTCGGCCCTCTTCGCTTCTGACTTTCGATCTCACTGGGTTAGCACGTTTAGATTATAAAAGATATTAGTGGTTAAGGTCTAGTCAAAATTCAAACACATCTTTAGGTTGGTTACTTTGAATATATCATCAACGGATATGTAAATTGTTATACGGATTTCTTAACCGAATGTCATGAGCAAACATTCGTAACGTTAAAATGATGTGATAATAGTAGTTTCCAGGATACCATTCAGCTATGAAAGCACTACCCTATTTTTTAATTCATGTCTATTTCTAAGCAGATAGTCATTATATTCGAGGTGGCCGTCCAGATGTGGGTTAAAATTTGCAGAATTTATCCCAGGCTCTCTTTTATATCAAACCCCGTGGTTAGCACTTTACGTGGACTACCCCATTGATGTATCAAGGAATCATAGATGCTTTGAAGATTGTACAAAACAGAAGACGTTATTTCAAAAATATATTAGTCAAAGTAGACAGAAGCGGAAGTAAGACCACTGCCGCATGGGTTAGTCCATGACGTCCGATCAAATGATGCGTGTTGAATGTCCTTGACCTTGTTCGATATTCAAAGACCCGATTGCCTGATGATTTTGCTAGGGCTCAGTGAAATTTCACCGGACCTGCGCTTGCTTTTCAGACGTTAGTCTGCATAATTTCGACAATACAGATAAACATGCAGACATTATGTCGTATATATCATTAAAGTCCGCGTATTGTAATTTCGCATGTTGCCTATACAGTTCAGGTGGAAGTACAGATCGACACTAAACAAGACTTAAATAAAAAATGCATGCAGTTTTATATGCGAGATCGAAATTTTATAGCTGCTACAACATATTTCACCCTTTTTTCAAGCCAGAAGCTTCAAAAACCGGGATTAGTTTAATAAATCTTAAACGACTGTGTCAACTCGTTAGTGAACATATACTGAAACCTTGATATCAGTAAATGATGCACAAACTAGAATTGTTGATGTGACTGAAAAACCTATTTTAAGATATGTACGATAACTAGAAGGAATTTTCAAAATAGTGCAATTGGCAGAAAGTGGAACTAGACGAGCACCAATGAACGGAGTAAATTTGCACCGAAATGAACAGTAGGCCTTCATACTGACGAAATATGTCCGGGTTTACTAAATTTAATGCATTTATTACTACGAGATACATATGGTTCACCGCAGGAAATACATCTGTAAAACCTGTGCTTACTTATGTGTTTTGCTTCGCAAATCGCTGTCGTGCTATTTTTCACATTTCCACACATACGGGAACTCTTAATAAGCAAATGCGAGTTTGAGTGGCTCTGATAGCAAAGTACACCATCGAGTGAACAAGGCACTAGAGATTATTTAAATAAAGTTCAAGGATTTGCGACTGTAGTGCTTGTATGAACTAATTATCTTTTGTACTTGATTTCGAATTCAAAGAAGGATCGCAAAGCAAGCCACAATGGTGAGAGCAAGTCTAGTAAATTTTCATTCTCGTAATTCGTGTGTACTTCGTGATTCTGGATGCTTTGAACGCGGTGAGATTGGACACATTCATTGTCAGATACTCCAAACTATCGAGGCGATATTTGCGGCATCGCCTTAATTCTTGACGGATACCGCTTCTCCGAGTTGTTTGTCATCTTCTGGTTTTATTAAAACAATCGGCGTTCCCGTTAGTGACCATGTGGTGTATGATAATAACCATGCTCAAAAAGGATGAACAGTGTACTTCGTAGCACTCGAGGACTAGCTACTTCTTGGTACCAAGAGTTTAGGTTACTATAGCTACGTTGTGGTAACACTGGACATTGCAGCTGACTCTGGTTACATCAGAAGCGTCAGTTATTAAGAGAAGTCGCAAACGCTTACTTGCTCACTGGTTGTGTTTTGAAATAAACAGCGTCAGAGTCCAAACCATCATCACCGAACAAAAGTCCTGTCAAGGAAAATATTGCGTAAGATTGTCCCTCAGCGCTGTGAAGCCAATAATCTCAGGGACATCTCGAACCCACCCCTATGTTATACTTCATAGACCAACAGTGCTTGACACTGGTAATGAACACCCACCGGAGTCGTGTTACTCTATAAATGCTTTGGCATCCCTGTTATAATTTGTTGGGTTTAGTAAGTATAGCATTCCCAGTCTAGTACATGTCGTCGAATAAACGAAAAGCACCACTTAAGTGTTGATATGTACACATACCAATACTCATAGTATCCAACCACTAGGTCAAGCCAGTTGATATTTTCTTGGTATTTGATGTTACAGAATGACTGAAGTTCAAATCACTGACTGACTACTTTATCGCATGTCAGTCGATTCCAGGTCAATGATTAGGGTTACGGCCTTACATAAAACATGCACTTAATTACTAGTCGCACCTTTTTACCTGTCGAGACGGCGTGATAAGGTTGGTCAATTTACGACACACAGCTAAAGCAAATGTTCCCTCTACAGAACCGCTTTTATAAGGTCAACTTGCACAAATGTCAATTCTGAGAATACTGATTTTGAATAATGATGACCGGGACCTAAGTTATGAGTCACATATTGAAGGCGCTTGCTTGATATAAACAATATAACGAAAAAGGAACTCGAAACCCAAACATCAGAATAAGAAAAAGAAGAATGAAAATGTTATATTAAAGCATACAGTTCGTTGTATTGAAGATAATCTGAATTGTTAACCGAATTCGTAGACCAAGAATATGGGAAATAATAAGAATCAATGCATAGCTAAACTTGACTTGGTTGCTCGTTAGTGCTAGATGTTGTCTTAGTTGGTTTAGGAGATGAGGAGACAACTGATTTCATTTCGTCCAGTTTTTGTTGTCGAACATCACCCAATAACTGTTCAGGACCATTGTCTCCAACATCCAGTGCTTCACGAGAGCTTTGAGCCAACCTCTTTAGCTCAGATTGAATATCTTTTTGTGAGATCGACGTCCTATCTGCAGTTAATTTATAAAAATCAAATTATTCACTTAATTTAACATGAGAAACGAATTTCATGAATTTCTACAAATTACTTTCGCCAAGAAAGGATAAGAAGCATCAATAACTTCTTAAATATCTTTTGTTTAAGAGCAAACAACTAAAAAATCAAAGCTACCAAAAGAATAAGCAGCTTACTGCTTCGCTAAGAAATTTTTCCACGTCACCATTCTTTTAAATGCTAAACAAGAATAAAGGTTTACTATTCAAATACAAATAGCGATCTCAATTTTATGGAAGATACTTACAAGAAAACAACAGATTCCGAGTGAAGTTTGTTCAGAAAAAAACCTGACTTGGTAAAATCTATGGATGCACTTCTGTAAGTTCTTTCAATGTAAGAGAAAGAAACCGATAATAAGATGGCGATAACAACAGAAACAATGACGTTAACGAAAATAATCACGAAGCTGATAGAAAACTTAAAGGATAGGATAATTTTGTGACCAGCTACTACAAAAGTGAACTGATGAATACAAGAAAAACCACATATACTAAAGTAATTACCACATGTACTGAAACGAAAAGCTTCGAAATCCACAATTAGTTAGGAATTAGAAAGACAAAAGTCTATCTGCTCATAACATTACACTTTGCAAGAGCAGTGAAGAAATAAAAGACAATAAGAATAGAAATACATCGAAGATAGAATCCTCTAAGAATAAAAAAGAGTATATACATTTAGGCTATTACGACAGATAATAACCGAAGTTACGTTTCATATAAGTATTCACTAAATGGTATTATTCCAAAGTCTTATACGATGGGTCAGCAGTAGGCAGCTTCAAACTAAACATCATGAAGTTTATCCTATACTATTCATAACGACGCCAGTATCATCTGGTGTGGTACAAACGAGCTCCAAGTGGGCAATTCACGTTCCTGTAGTGTTAGCGGGACATAGACTAGACTAAAGCATGCTCAATGCATGATTGCTTTGGTGCACGCTGATTGGCTAATTCTTATCCAATCAGCGCTAGTCGATAATTGGAGAATATTCTGGATTCTTCTTATGTAAAAACTATAAATATACCGACGTTTTCCCCTATTGTGCTTCCTACTGGCTTCTGTTCAACCGTGTTCTGATTTGGGGACTTGTCGAGTGAATCGGTGTCCGAGAATACTAAGCAATAGGAATAGCTGGGTCATTAACCGTAAGAAAATAGAATTATAACAGTGGCGACGGGGAAAAACTAAAGAAAAATGGCGATTTCTTTAGAACAGTTGCGGTTAATATTACAGCACCAGCAGAAGTTGTTAGCCTTGCAACAACAACTATTGAACACACTTTTCACTCGACCAGAAAATAAGAAATCTGTTTATGATGCAGTAACAGACATTTCAGAAGCATATCTAGTGGAGGGTTCAAATCCCTTTATACCTGAATCAGAACGTAATATTTGTAACGTGTCCGGCTCACAGCAAGAAAATACTGTGCTGAATGCACATGAAGTTGTGACAATACCAGATGATCAGGAGCCAGGTCCTGTAGATGAAGCCCGGAGTCCAGAATCAAATGAAACACTACTGGTACTGTCTAGCTGCGAAAATAAACGTCAGCTCGAACAAAATTGTGGTCCACGTGCTATTAGTCGAGAAAGCTATGGTGACTCGTATTCAGAAAATAACTGGAGCAACACGATGAACCAAATTGTACCAGATGTTACTCAAAATCACCGGAAGACAGAATTTTATATTGAGTCAACTTATCCCATTTCTAATGACAGTGTACCAGATATTGATTCTCAGAATAATGCATATGATTTTGATGAACCGTCTTATAACAATGAGGGAAATATGTCAGCTGAGTCGAATGATGGCCAAAAATCTAATCTAATTCTGTTAGACGTTGACTTTCTTAATGACTCGTTATCAGCTAACGAGATTCATAATGAATTTGAAAATAATGAACTCAGATCAAAGGTTGTTCATCATCATCTAGTCATTTTTAGTGGATTCTCCAGTCAATACGAGAAACATGGTTTAAATAAAGTCCTACTAGTTATAATTTGGAGCCATAAGGACCCAACATTATTTCGAGGAGGAGGAGAATGTTGGAGAATTAGAAGTTATGCATACTTTTTTTTAAGAAAAATCAAAACGCCGGGAACAGACATGTCAGTCTCTGTGCAAGGAAAAAGTGAGAATTCTTCATTGTCTAGACGATGGACTAATCGAAAGCACAAGCCAGTCACTCAGTTGCAGTTGGACCCTAGCACCAGATCCTACGAATCTGCTCAGAGGGGAGGTGTTAGCGGGACATAGACTAGACTAAAGCATGCTCAATGCATGATTGCTTTGGTGCACGCTGATTGGCTAATTCTTATCCAATCAGCGCTAGTCGATAATTGGAGAATATTCTGGATTCTTCTTATGTAAAAACTATAAATATACCGACGTTTTCCCCTATTGTGCTTCCTACTGGCTTCTGTTCAACCGTGTTCTGATTTGGGGACTTGTCGAGTGAATCGGTGTCCGAGAATACTAAGCAATAGGAATAGCTGGGTCATTAACCGTAAGAAAATAGAATTATAACATGTAGTCTCGACGATAGCATGTTTACAAAACTGTCTTATGATTTAGTTATCTGTAATCGATTTGAAGGTAGTACACATCAAACACTAAAACTCGTTTTTGGGAACGTTACTATTTAACTAAGTGCACTTGCGACTTTAATAAATAGTAGAACTTATAGTCACTTGGTGTTATATTTACAATAACAACTAATGAGCAACCTAAGAAAGCAAAAAGGTTCAAAAACAGTATTAAAAAAACATGCCGATATTTTAGCTAGTTTGGTTGTAAAGTGAAGCAAGAAGTAACAACCGCATTTATCGTTGTTGAGTCTGTTTGGGAAAAGATCCTAGCAATGGTATTATATAACTTCCATCACCTCGGTTTGCCTTACCTGTGATTCTTTTGGGACGATACTAAATTTTAATGACTCACATACTGTGTCCTCTACTTACTATTTAAAACTTTGTAGAACTTAATTTGTCTATGGAACAAGTTCCTAGATAATTCCCTGCACTGTTGCACACAGAGTTTTGGCATGACTAACATCAATAATGTCCGCCCATTCCCCCCTACTTTGTGTGAACCTTGAGTGTGTCGCTGTTGTGTGGTGTTGAAGATGAAGTCATCCCACATAGCAGACTCAGTCCTCTCAAACTATTACGTCTAATGTGTTAACAAGCCTGTTTCCTATACCAAAGTTTAAAGTTAAAGACGCTAATAGGCAAGTAGAATTCGTCTTTAAAATAAGTTGTGTAAAGTTTGTATGAAAGTGAACTGCCTAGTCAGAAACTGTTAGTCGTGAAAGGTAGCTCGATCGAAAGGTGTGGTTGAAGGCGACACACATAAGTTCACACAAAGTAGGGGGGAATGGGCGGACATCATTGATGTTAGCCATGTGATAGTGTAGAGACTTGTTCGATAGACAAATTAAGTCCTCAAATCAGATGCACGTGGAAACTGGTGTAAAAGCATCATCTGTAATCAGCTTATCTTATGAATTAACCTAAGCATGAACAGAAGCAACCAAACATAGCTTTTTCATAAATTCCCCTTGAAGACTTAAAGGTAGCGATCCACCATAAAGGCTGCATACAAAAGCAAAAACTGAACACATATTCAGATAGGAACTAAATACACATATTGAAATTGAGGAATACTCTTATGATGTGCGGTGTCCGAAATCTGATACTGATACAATGAGCTAAAACCCCCCTCAACTGACTACTTCAGCGAGATCACAAGAGTGAGCGAGAAAGTGCATTGGACTACCGAATGAGATGCATATATATATATATATATATATATATATATATATATATATATATATATATATATATATATATATATCACTCTAACCTTAGAAAATTGACCCAACGAAATGCACTTGACCTTCGGGTCACTTCTGATTGCCATCGATAGACAGTTTAATTAGGCTACATCTGACTGGCTCTCCATGTCAAATGTTTTAATTAAAGTAAAACCGAAGTGCAGGTTGCTGTAGAGGTAACTGAGTTACAAGTAACACAATATAATATCAGATATCAAGTTCAAAAAAGCCATTACGATAATTCCACTTAAACCAAAGTTTTGTACATTATGAATTAGGTTATTCAAAAAATATACACCTAAGCAGTAAAATTATAAATATAGCATCCGCAATAAACTATCTTATAAGAATTTCAATACGGTCAAATAACATATTCCTTAAGCGATAAAAGCAGCGTTCCTATAATACATTGAAGATTAACAAACATATTTCAACAAAACTTGTCCAATTACCTAGAGAACCTTGTGTACTCAGTGATGCAGATGTACCAATACCGCCAACTCCACCAACAACAGGTGTGCGTTTGCTAAGCAGACTGTTGAAAAAATTGGCTAATACACCTTCAGAAGCCCCTGGTCCAGGTCCACCTGTTGTCCCAGCAGCTCCACCAACAGCTGAAGGAGGCTAAAAAACAAACAAGATTTGAGTGGTAAACGGAAGTGGGGTAAAGACGACAATGTAAAAGCAGATATAACGTTTATTGCGAAACTATTCGTTCAAATTTAGACGAAAGTTCTTATTTACAGATATAAAGTGTTGCTACTTATCGAGATTCTACAAATATGGGATTATTTTGTTGTTTACATTCTACTCAATTAACTCGAACTTTAGTATTGGTACATATAGTGTTTGGTTTAGTATTAAGAACCTAGAAAAAAACCATTTTATGCGGACTATATTAGCTAGAAACTGCAGACATTGATGAAAATAAAAAATAAATCTACTTTAAATCAATATATTAGCTGAGTCAGACAAAAAACGCTGAGTGAAACCATATATTAAGTTTTTCCAACTACAAAGAAGGGAGAGTAGTTGAAGCTTTCCATATAATGCTTAATCATACTGATTTCCATAGAAAAGAAGGCCTCATCATACCTCCGAATTCAACTATCTATCCAAGCTACCATGTCTGATTCTATTCACATCTCACACTGTTATCGTACATATAAATTAAACTCTATCCTTTTGCACCACAAAGGTTACGTTTTTACATCCCTAACCTTGCACACATACACAAAAAATCTACATACATGTCGCTTGTAAATCACCTTGACCAAAATGACATGACAATGACTTGTTCAGACCTGGTTTTTTTTATTGACTGCACATAATATTTTTGCGTAGTTCCGTTGTACTATTTTAACTGGGATTAGTTTTGATTTTGGTTATTTATTCTCTGAAGAAGTGGCTTACAGTGAGTCACGAAACGTCAGAAAATCTAATTTTACCACTCATTGGGATATTGCAAATATATTATTTATTTATAACAATCTACCCAATGCTCAATTGATTCGAAATTATCAAGTTGAAACTTGGTAATGATACCTACATATCGATAATGCAATGACCGACGAAATCATTTACCTAAGCTGATGTCCAGTTGAAAAGGTCAGATGGTTCTTTATAATGATCTATATGTAGAAAACTGACATGGAATGGTCAATTTACGAATTTCCATAGCTGGATTCCATTGAGTAGAAAGAGGAATTTAACTCACACTTAATCCTCGAGGATTAGGCGAATATCTACTAATGACACAATAAGACGACGAACTCCTTCAACTTCAACAGATATTCATCAGGAATGATTATCCACTTAGATTTGTCAATAGAAACTTAACAGCAAGACAACGTCCTGAAAAAGCACCAACAGTTCAAAAGAAAAATTTTTATGAATATCAAATTTAAAGGAGTTACGACTGCCGAACTCTTAGAAAAACGGATTTCAAAATCCCTGAATAAAACCTTCAATTCAGCTAAGCTCCGAATTGCCTTCTCAAGCCGACCTACCATTCACGCATGTGTTGAGGATGAAATTCCGCTTTGGGTCACATAGATGTGCATCTATGAATTCACCTGCTCCTCTGAGACAGGTTACATTGGCCACACAAAGCGATCATTTTCCAAACGCATCTCAAGGCATTACCCATTGTAGCTTTTAAAAGGGTAATGCAAAAAATACCAGTTCAATAGAGGGGTACCTAATCAACTCTGGACACGTCGCTTCGAAGGAGTCTTCCCTTAAGAGCTACACAATCAAAGGAACCGGATCGAAAGGAGGCCGAATTAAAAACTTATGCACTGTTGAAGCGTTGACGATCCATCAGTTCAAGCTTGTGCAAAAACGATACGTCCAACCTCTGATTATTATTAGTGGCTTTATTCAATATGATATTTTGGTACAACATAGAGTTGTCAGCACAGGGTTTTTCAACAAGTTTCTTACACGAAAAAAAAATCTGAAAAAAACTGTAAAACTTTTCAAATTAGAGACATGTTAAGAATGAAACTTATTGACTAGGTTAACTCTAACAACCTGTTCGTCACAGAGTATATTTGCTAGGTAAGGTATTATAGAACTCTTATACTTTCGCTTGCGTGCATGAATTTTAATGTATTTACATCTCGTTCTACCAGAAAATATACAAGGAGAAAGATAAGAGTGAAGGGGATGGCTAGTATCTGATAAAATAGCACATGCCAGGAGTTTGCATGACTTTAGATGTCTATCCACAACCATATTAATTATGACCTCGAAAGATTCACCACACACCTTGCTAACTGCTCTCAGCACTTTCCGCAATACAGCAAAGTCTTTTCTCAAACGCCCGGGAAAGCATAATGGAGAACAGTAAAGAATAATAGGTAATAAGCAAGAATTGACAAATTGTAAGAGTAAATATCGAGTAATTCCAAGAGCATGCAATTTCTTTATGTAGTAAGTCAGACGGAAAACCTTCTTCGATAACAATTCTATATTGTACCAAAATATAATATTGAATAAAGCCATTAATAATAATAATAATAAAGCGTGAGACGGCCAAGAGAGATCAGAGTTAATACAACCTGAAACTTAGGAGATTCGTCCCTGAACCACTGGGGATTACCAGTAGTAAGGTAACACCATATCATGTCGCGAAATTAATCTTAACAAGAAATTACTAGTGTATTCATTCTTCAATCGGTAACTAATGTATAATTTAGTTTACGTGCTGTTGTGTTGCAACTACTGCAATATATTGTGAAACACATTGAAATAGTCTGAGTTGATGTGAGATTAAAGAAAATGAAATGCTAAAACTTTTTATTTCACATAAACCGGAATTACTTATTTTCATTGGTTCATATAGTCTATACACTGACTTTTCTCTGCCATCAATTATACAGTCAGGTTGATAAACAGAATTATCTAAATGTATGCCTATCGATTATAGTTATACCAAATTTTCTGTTTCTTTTCTTATCGATCGTTAGGACATGGCTAATCATGATGTAGATCATTATCATTATTTGATCGATTTGTACACATATATGGCAATCTAGTGACTACAAACAAAACGACTACTAGTGAATTAAATGATACAAAGGTAATGTGATAACGATATAAAACTGTATATAAACAAAAACATTTTGAAATAATAGTTGAATCAAATTGCCTACTACTTGAAAGTGACGACATAAAAATTAAAATAAAGTAGACAAGAATATAATGTTATTAGATTGAGGAATCCTTGAATTTAGTTAAAGATGAATTATTTTAGTCTTTTCAAGGCAAAGTATTTAAGTGGTGGTGTACTTAGGGATCATCTAGTCCCGAGATATTTTAGATATACTTAAAGGAAAGTTAAGAGAAATACTAACTAACGAATCGACATCAAATTAAAGCTAGAAGTGTCGAATCTAGGTTTTGCAAAATAATGAGGATTTCAACGACAGCAAAAAAAACGCGATACCGTATCACAATTTTATTCTTCAGCACTGTGATGTGACAATAATCTTCAGTAGATATGGTATTTATCATAAGATTGGAGAACAAAATCAATGGATAATGAGTGATTTAATTCAAAAGCCATCCGGAGGATTGTGTACTATCAGATATATATGTTGTATTAAAGCTAATGATACAACTTATTCCTCCAAACTCCTTTAGGTGAAACTGTGTTGGACCATGTGATCAATGGGTTGGTGGCCCTTTATCTTAACTAAGTGGGATTTATACCGTCTTTATAATGGCCTATTCAGTATGTTGCACTGATGGATCTAACAGAGAATCACATGTAATATTTAGGATATTTGTAAAGATAAGACCGAAATATATAACGCATTAAAATATTTAATTTGAAAACGATATCCAATACACTATAAAATTCCCGAAGTTTGAAACTTGTTAACACAAACCTCAGTTTCGATCATTTCGATAAAAATATACAAGATACTTTTATGTAAATCCTATTTGCTGTAGTACTTACTTTTAAAGGCAGGGACTTTAGTTTAAAAAAATTCGCACACTGTCTCATCAGAATCTTATATATTCATATACGTAAGCGAAATATTGTTTATTGGTAGCCCATGAAGAACAGTTGTTACAGTGACAACATTAAGAAAACGCAAACAAGCTTCAGAAGTAAAATAAATTAAGCTTGATTCTGAAATAACTAATACCACTAGCATTAATAGAACAAAACAGATTGCCTTTGTAAACAACAATTTCAGATAGTCAAGACTACGAATAACATACACATCAAATAATAAATAATGTTGTCGAGTCGAGCAAGTAAAACCTAAAACAATGCATTTTAGAACAATAATCCAAAATAATGAAAAACTTAAGCGCCAAATAAATGAAAAGCTTTAGATCCAGGTTTCGTACGTCCATATATTAGCTGAGGAAAATCATCTACGCACAGAACAAATTTACGACTACTTCAAAATTTCAATACACGAGAATGAATGCTTTAGATGATGACTAGTGGACGATTTTCATCACAAACTGACAAAATCACTGCATGGATTCAGAAAACTCGTTTGGCTTTTGACAACTTACGTCACCTGTGATGAAAGCGAGATATCCGTCTGTCAATAGAAGTACGAGTATACAGCTCAACATTTCGTTCTGTTCTACTTTACGTCTGTGAAACGTGGCCATTATGAGTAGAAGATACTCGTAAGTTACTAGTATTTGATCACAGATGTCTTAGAAATATTGCTCGCATCTGCTAGGATCACCAGGTAAGTAATAGTGAGGTTAGACGCATAGTATTAGGGAACGATGATGAATCAATTGATGAGGTTGTAGACCTTCATCGACTGAGATGGTTGGGCCACGTGTTACGTATGCCTGGATACCGATTACTACGACGCGCTATGCTGACTAGTGTTGGGGATGGTCGGAAAAAGTCAGTCAGTCAGTAACAAAGTAGAACTTTGTAGGTACGTACATCAATTCGAGTTACCACACCACATTAGCACAGAAATCCAGTGGTCGATTCAAATCCCGTAGTGGTAGAGGTAATAAGAGTATAAGCAGTAATCGGAAAGATTAGGGTTTGGAGATGTTACTTAAAGAGTATAATACAGTGAAATAAATTTAGAAAGAGAAAAAAAGAGACAAGGAGGATTCAGGAGAACACAAAGAGTGTATGCACCTGCGCCATTGCAAACGATTTTGAGCCATGTCATTCAGGGTCTCTAACCATCGGTTGCTATCATCTCGCGGTCCCCAACCAGGTAGTCTACACCTACCGACACGACTCAGACCACTTGTCAGTGACTTCATGGACTTGTGCCATGTTTCGGTCTGGCCGCCCTTAGCTTTCTTCCAACTTACTCCTACCCCACAGAACATCGCACGTCGGGGCATTCGGTAATTGGGCATACGTAGCACGTGTCCCAGCCATCTCAACTGATGAAGTTTCACTACTTCATCAATTGATTTTCCATCCTTACCTAGTACCCGTTTCCCAACAACTGCGTTACTTATTCGATTAGTCGGAAAAAAGTTAGGGGCGGCCAAACCAAAACGTGGCATCATTTCTTGAAGTCACTAACTTCTGATCTGAGCCATGCAGACTACTTGGTTGTGGTCTGCGCGACTATCGTAACCAATGGTTGGAGACTGTGTGAAATGGCTGAGAATCGATCACAATGGCGTGAGTGTATACATTCTTTGTCTTCCCTCAAACTGTGAGCTTAAAATTAATTTAGACTTTTTCTTTCTACGAACCAGTTCTTTCTTCCTGTATCATATTCTTATATGCAATATTTTTTTAATATGTATTGCTACCAGTGACGTAACTGCCTCCACGAATTCGGTGTTCATCTTGTTGTACTAATGAAGTATGGCAACTTGGATCAATTTATATATGTGCCTAGTCCTATGTTGTAGCTGACTGACTTTCATGCCGCATAAACTTTTGTAGGGCCAGATAAATATAATCCTAATAGGTAGTATATTTTCTACTTTAGGTGTTAATGCTGATTAGCATATTGCAGAGCAGTTCTTTATTAATAAGGATGAACATTTTCACTAACAGTATGTAGTGGCCAGATTTATGGTGATCATAAATCTTTTGAAACAGTTATCAAACGGTAGGCTCTCACAAATGAAGAAAATTATTAAATGTAGAAAATAATCCTTTGGAAATTAAAAGTAGTCGTGAAAATTGAAATAATAGATCTTGTTTACCAAATAAATTAAGTACCGTGACAAAAATATTTGGTCGAATACCTTTGATCTACCAGCAGAACCAGGTGTACGAGGAGATCCAGAAACTGGTCTACTTCCAACATTGGAAGATGTATTCATCAAGGCAGTAGTTGTTCCAAGCTGATCCATGACAGAATCCGAATTACCAGATATTGTATTATTTGAAATATTTGCTTGAGCATTATCTCTTTGCACACTGACCGAGAGGCGAGTAAGAAATGACTATATATGAAAAAACACTAGATAATTATAGATGCTATGTAAAAATTATGGCTAAAAAAATTCAGTGCCAAAAGTGAAAAGTGTACGGTAGTTTTATTAAATCCATCCAAACTCAAAATAAAGACATTTAAAACTAAATATTTTGACTACGTACACGATTTGACTGTTGAAACGACTGATATAATGTTGCAGTCAATTGATAGCAACTGAGGAAACCAAATATAGTAACTCGTCATATTAACAGCCTCGAACCCTAATGATAATCAAAAAACTTGAACAGCTGGTCAGGTTTGCATTGTCACACTATGTAACTTGCTGAAATGAAACAATTACTTACTTACGCCTGTATGATTTAGAAGGTTACGTAGACCAACTATGGGACCATATGTACAAACTTAAACCAATAACTACTGGTGAACAATCGCGAGCGACATATGTACTTTAGGATCTAAATAATTGTAAGCACGTCTGGATATAGTGTAACAAAATAAATGTAGCACATAGCCCTCCATCCGATGGACCATTCAAAGTTATCTCAAGGGAACCTAAATATCAATAAGTTACTTAAATTTATCTCAATATTCTTCGCAATGCCATAAAACCTGCTTAAATATGGCAGATATTATGCTAACGTTACTGAAACATGTGTTTCATTGCATTTCTGAAATAACTTAAAGTGGCCTATTCACAAAACTTATGTACCCATTAGCTGTTTGTGAATAATAATAATAATTTCTTAGACTGAAACTTGCTCACTTATGCCTCTTATCCCTCGTGGAAGAGCATTGGCTGATCATTAGCATTCTCCATCCAACTCTGTGCTGAGCAATCCTTTCCAGTTTTTATTCATCCTTTTCAAGATTGCTTCCAATTCTCGACGTAGTGTGTTCTTTGGACTTCCTCCTTTCCGTTTTTCCCAAGATTCCAAATTACGGCTTGCTTCGTGAAACAGTTTGATGATTTCCATAATGTATGTCATATCCACTTCTAACGTCTTTTCATAATTTCCTCTTCAGCTGAAGCTGGTTTGTTCTCTCCCACAGTAGGCTGCTGCTGATGTTTTCCGGTCAACAAACATTGAGTATCTTACATAGACAATTGTTTATAAATACCTGCACCGTTTTGATGATGGTTGTAGTAGTTTTCCAAGTTTCAGCTCCGTACAGTAGGACAGTCTTGACGTTCGTATTGTAGATTCTGACTTTGATATTGGTTAACAGTTGTTTAGAGTTCCACATGTTCCTCAATTGTTGAAATGCTGGCTTTGCTTTGCCAACCCGTGCCTTCACGCCTGCATCGGATCCTCCTTGTTCATTGATGATGCTGTCCAGGTACGTGAAAGTTTCCACCTCTCCCAGAGTTTCTCCATCAAGTGTGATTGGGTTGATGCTTTCCGTGTTGTATTTCAGGATCTTGCTTTTTCCTTTGTGTATACTGAGGCCTACTGATGCAGGGGCTGCTGCTACACTCGTTGTCTTCATCCGCATTTGTTCGTGTGTGTGGGATAGGAGGGCCAGATCATCTGAGAAGTCCAAATCGTCTAATTGATTCCGAGCTGTCCATTGTATTCCGTGTTTCCTCTCAGCTAACGAGGTCTTCATAGTCCAGTCAACCACCAGGAGAAAGAGGAAGGAGCAGAGTAAGAGACCTTGTCTGACTCCGGTCCTCACTTCCAATGCATCTGTCAACTGTCCTCCATGCACCACTTTGCAGTTTAGTGCCTCCCATGAATTCTGGATCATCTTAAGGATCTTATCAGTTAATCACTGATAGTGTCGAAGGAGTTTCTATAAAGTCCTCCTATCCACATTGTCAAACGCCTCCTCATAGTCAATAAAATTGATGTATAGTGTCGATATCCACTCAACTGGTTGTTGAACGATGATCCGTAATGTTGCGATTTGGTCTGTGCACGACCGATCCCTGGGGAATATGGTCTGGTGATCTGGAGGCTGGGCGTCTACTGAATCTTTCATCCGGTTCAGCAACACTCTGTTGAAACGTTTACTGATACTGACAGTAATGTGATGCCTCTGTAGTTCTCACACTTGCTCAGATCTCCTTTCTTTGATATCTTGATGAGGTGCCGTTTTTTCAGTCTGTAGGTGGCACTTGTTCCCCCCCCCAAGTCTTCCTGAATAGAACGAGGAGCATCTTTGCAGTTACTTCGATGTCTGACTTCAGTGATTCGACTAGTATATTGTTAGGTCATGCTGCTTTCCCACTTCTGATTTGGCTGGTGGCCATCCTGATTTCTTCGGTCGCTGGTGAAGTGACATCTACAGGAAGAGCTGTGTGTACTGCTTCGACGTCCGGGAGTGTTTAGTGGGGCTGGTCTATTCAAGATTTTCCCAAAATGTCCCACTCATCTCTTCTGCTCTTGAATCTGAGTGATTGTCTTGCTTTCCTTGTCATTGACCGGTCTCTCTGGTTTACTACATATCTGTTGACAGACATAGCATATGTACCATAGGTGATACAATTTAGCAAAAAATTAGGTGAGTTTTGTATTGCTGTCGTGATTTTACTTCACTAAAGCTGATGGAACTAACTTAAGAAAATGAACGAGTCAAATAGGACAGGTTTTGAACCAGAACCATGATATCCATCTTTAGTACTCGTTATTTTCTAAAAGGTTAGCAAATTCACATGAACTTATATCTCTATGAGACTGAAATTTGACTGAGTAGTAGGTACTCATAGATACTATTTAGAAATTATGAAGGTCAAGATTAAAAGCCACCCACAGAACAGTTCCCGAAAATACATAAATTAGAAATACTTCTGTTTTCATGATTATGCTCGTGCTGATTGAGAAAATGTTAAATTAAATAGATAATTAAAATTGCATGTCAAATAGGGCAAATTCACGATGAATATAAGATTTCCAGAAAATGTATTAATCTACGAAGCCACTATCTCCCGGAACCTAAAAGCTCTTAAAGGAACCTAAATCATAGTTACATTTATGAACCGCGGACTTAAGTTCCACAAACCCAAGCCCTACAGGTGCCTTGAGAATTGTCTAACTTCCGAAACATTGATAGTTATATTTTCGTAATTGATTACAAACTTCATTCATAATCAGCATAGAGCTTGGGACAGTAGCTTTTAGATGAACATTATTTAGCACTCCTGGTTACATTTATCGTAAACATTACTATCTAATGATAGATATCAACATTTCTGATGATTTGCAAGAATGAAGTACTCTCTAGACAAAATCTTAGTTATTGATTACCCTTAAACTTGCCACATTACGAACATATTATACAACCCACTTGGTCATCTTGAGTAAATAGTTCCGGTTCGCGAACTGCTGCTTTTTTCGACGGTGGTGGAGGAACTACGTCAGAATACAGACTATGCGGTTGAACTTGAGTAAGGTTTTCCTCAAGAATTCCAATTTTCTTTAGGTTATCCCATCCGGCTGGACTGTAAGTTAATTATTTACCTTAGGTAAATTGAAGACTTACACGAAAATACAGTCTCTTTCGACAACATACGCAGTTTGACTGAATGGAAAACCGTAGATACGACTTTGTAGATAACGATTTAGCAAATCACAGTTCTTGTCCTCCTTTACTGACACATAAAACAGTGCCGCTCCATCTAAATGAATATAAAAATTGATAATCATTTGAAGTGGTAAAAAGTCAGTGAATATTACAGAACATCATGTATTTGAAATAAGAAACAGAAAGAAACTGTGAAGTCATTAACTAGGGAGTAATTTTAACTTACATGTGCAGGAAAACCAATTATTTTAAAATGACAAACAAGTCCTATATCAAGACAATTCACAATCACTGAAATTACTGACTATTTACATCATTTAGAGGTGTCAGGACATTTAATGTGGTTATTTCAAACTCTGCAAACAAAGAAAAGTGACAACATTCACATTTTCATAGTTTAACCATTACAAAAATCCTTCTGTTCAAATCTTTGGTCTACTCAGCAATGTCGATTATTCAGAGTTTGTCTTCCTTTATTGTCTGATGTGAGCTAAATTTAGAGACTGTTACCTTTTATACATTCAATAAAATAAAATTGAACTAGTTTCACAAGCGAATACTTAGCAGATCATTTAAACGTACACAGATGCACAAGACTGTGGTTTATAAAAATTTCAAAAACATGCGGATAAACGATACCATGTCACCGAGATAGAAACTTGATTACAGTGAAAAACAACACAGTGTTTCAAAGAATTAAAGTTATCCACCTCTACTTTGTCGGAGTCAATGATTGAAAACCTCAGGTGATATGGTTTAAAATCGGCAGCAGTGGTGTATAATAATCATCCTTCTATTAGACCATGAGTTCTAATACCATTTCAAACAGTTTACTTCTTTTCTGTTGTTCTAGGCATCCTTAGATGAATAATACCGGGGGTCCAGTTTGGTATATTGAGCCTATCTGGTTTTCATACTGTAAGCTATCAACGGGAATAACTGAGAAATGTTTATACTTATTGGTTGGACATATTCTATGACAGCGTGTTGTTATTACTGCTTCGTTATTCCCTCTTGTTTTTTGAGTTCTGACATACACCAAGTCACCCGAAACAACAAAATAAGTGATTATTTGTTATTGGTCTACAATTACGGCTTGATAGTTATAACTGTCACATGATTATTAGTGGTTTATAATATATTGCATGTATCAAGCCGAGATATTTTATGCTGAATAATTTGTTTTTGACATTTAATACATCTTTTCCTTGGGAAGTGTACGACAACAATATGTGAACATAATAAATCTTTTTTCAGTTGGTTTATCAAAAATGTCTTGGATTTTTCTAGATATCTAAGCAAAAGTTCCATTTTCTACTGTTAGTCTACGAATGCTGTCAACGAAACGCAAGTGGTTGCTGTTTTCCACTCACCAACTCTATGAGACGATAAATCTTCCAAAAAATTTGAAAAAAAGGATCATTAGAATAGGATTTGCTGACATGAGCATGAACGCAAATCAAAAGAAACAACTGCACGAAATCAGTTATGTACATAATTTTATCAAAGCATCTTTGATGCATTTACTTCATAATTTACGAGTTATGCCACCATCATTGGAAGTTCGTACAGTAAGATGAGATGTAGTATCTGAGATAGGGCTTCTCATAACCTTCTGTTCGTTGTGAGGACATCAGTTAGTCATCTACAACATAGGACTAGGCACATATATAAATTGATCCAAGTTGCCATACTTCATTAGAACAACAAGATGAACACCGAATTCGTAAAGTAGAACAGAACGAAATGTTGAGCTGTATACTCGTACTTCTATTGACAGACGGATATCTCGCTTTCATCGCAGGTGACGTAAGTTGTCAAGAGCCAAACGAGTTTTCTGAATCCGTGTAGAGATTTCATCAGACACCAACTCTTCAGAGCTGAGCAGACTTTCAAGAGAAGTGAAGTTGTCAAAGCGTTCGACTACTTCTCTACCTATCTTTAGTTCAAATGTTGACGCAGGTCAGTCCTGAAGCAATAATTTGCATTTACAGGGGAAGAAACGTATCCCAAACATCTTGGCATTGTTACATATTTCTACCAAAAGACTGCATTTTATCAGCATCTTCACCAAACAGAACTATATCATCTAGGCATTCCAAGTCAATGAGTGAACCACCTGGTAGGAAGTCCATTCCTGAAACTTCAGGCGACGAGTACATTACTTCCAGCAGTCCGTCTGTGATGAAATTAAACAGAAATAAAGATGGTGGATAGCCTTGCCAGACACAACTTGTGGTTACAAAATCGGATGACAGTTCGCCACAAGCTCTGACTCGACTAATAGTGTTCAAGTAAGGAGACTTCACAAGGTTTATGTACTTTTGAGGTACACTTTACAATGACAGACACTGCCACAGAACCCCTCGGTCTACAGAGTCAAATTCAGCTTTTAAGTCAAGAAAAACTATAATTGTCGGACGCCGACGGGCATGTTTGTGTTCTAAAACCTGACGAATGGTGATTATATGGTCGATGCAGCCACGACCGGGTCTCAAGCCAGCTTGATTTTCACGAGTGTTTGTTAAGCGTTCGATAATTATTAAGGCTAGTATTTTAGATGCTATATTAGTTAAACTGATCCTTCTATGGTTATTATAGGATGATTTTGACCCCTTCTTATATATTGGGACAACCAGTGATTGCGACCAGTCAGATGAGATTGCGTTCAACTCCCAGATTTTAGCTATAACTTAAGTCAAACTAATCGCTAAAACTGGCCACCATACTTAAAGACCTCTAGAGTTAATCCATCTGAAGCAGCAGCCCTTTCTCGTTTCAGATTATCTTATCTGTAGCTTTTAGAACTGCCATGAGAGTCAGGTGGCCTATCTCAATGTCTCTTTCAGGCTGTTTGGGAATGATGGGCAGTTGTAGAGTAGCTGAAAGCCAGCTGAACTGCTCCTTAAAGTTTTGCACCCATCGTTCTAAACGTCTAGAGTGAGAGCAGATAAGTGTCGTCTTTCTCGGAGATTGTCTCACACTTGACTTCTTAGTTCCAGTTTCTTTTATTAATCTGGAAAGCTGTCTAGTGTTATCTAAAGCTGCTACCTTTCCCATGTCTTTTGCTTTCGTTGCCCACCACTGATCGTAGACTTTCGGCTAACCTAGATCTGATTTGTTTTCATTCGTCATCGTGTTCGGAGTCTGATGGGATGAGTCTACAAGAGTTTATCAGTGCAATAGAGGTCACAGACATCCATTGGTTTTTCGTGATCCTTTAGTTCAAATCACTAATAGATGTTGCTGCTGTTTCTACAGCTGTACGCATACCTTCCCAAACAACATCTGGGTCCGCCTCGTTTTCAAAATCGCTTAAGTGTGACTTCAGTTGTTCCTCGAATTTACCTTTGATTTCCTCATCGTTGAGTTCAACTCTAATTGGTCTTTTTAATGTGGTTTTTCTGCGTCCAGTGAGGCGCAAATAAATGCGTGTTCGTATTAGAGCATGATCAGTCAAAACATGTATTCCAAAACCAGCGGCAGTCTTCTACTGAGCCTCTCCAACGATGACTGATGACATTATGGTCTATTTGAGTCCATCGTAAGTTTGGTGCAAGGGGTCCCCATGTTAGGCGATGTCTCTCCTTATGCTTAAAATTAGTGCTTTTGGAAATAAACGATTGTTTAAGCAGTTTCAGCAGACGACCATCATTATCTGTTCGCTGAGCCTCCAAATGGTACGACCGAGGGTTGGGAGGGTCCGCTCTCCCCCTCGAAATACTCTCATATGGCCACGCGTATACAGCCACTGTCAGAGAAGTCCAACTCACTGTCTTCTCGCGACGGGGTGTTGTTTACGAGATTGAGAGGGTGAAAAGAGCGAAGGTCCGGCGCTTTAACCAGATTAATGGACATGGACGGTCCACCTCAGTCAGTCAGTAACAACGTAGAACTTCGTACGTACGTACATCAATTCGAGTTACCACACCACATTAGCACAGAAATCCAGTGGTCGATTCAAATCCCGTAGTGGTAGAGGTAATAAGAGTATAAGCAGTAATCGGAAAGATTAGGGTTTGGAGATGTTACTTAAAGAGTATAATACAGTGAAATAAATTTAGAAAGAGAAAAAAAGAGACAAGGAGGATTCAGGAGAACACAAAGAGTGTATGCACCTGCGCCATTGCAAACGATTTTGAGCCATGTCATTCAGGGTCTCTAACCATCGGTTGCTATCATCTCGCGGTCCCCAACCAGGTAGTCTACACCTACCGACACGACTCAGACCACTTGTCAGTGACTTCATGGACTTGTGCCATGTTTCGGTCTGGCCGCCCTTAGCTTTCTTCCAACTTACTCCTACCCCACAGAACATCGCACGTCGGGGCATTCGGTAATTGGGCATACGTAGCACGTGTCCCAGCCATCTCAACTGATGAAGTTTCACTACTTCATCAATTGATTTTCCATCCTTACCTAGTACCCGTTTCCTAACAACTGCATTACTTACTCGATGGTCCCACGATTTACGAGCAATATTTCGAAGACACCTATGATCAAATACTAGTAACCTATGAATATCCTCTACTCTTACCGGCCATGTTTCATAGCCATAAAGTAGGACGGAACGAACCGCTGCGCAGTAAACCCTTCCTTTGGTTGATAGACGGATATCTCGCCTACGCCATAAATGACGCAAGTTGGCAAAAGCTAGTCGAGCCTTCTGTATCCATGCTGAGATTTCGTCACACACCAGACCACAAGGGCTGATGAGACTTCCAAGATAAGTGAAGCGATCGACATGCTCAATTACTTCACTCCCTATCATTAGTTCGGATGTCAATGCGACCCAATCCTGAAGCAATATTTTGCATTTCGAGGGGGAGAATCGCATCCCGAACATGCTTGCATTGTTGCTTAGAGTGGTCAGAAGACTCTGCATTTTGTCAGCGTCTTCACCAAGTAAAACTATGTCATCAGCATATTCTCAGTCAACAAGTGAATCTCCCGGTAGAAGTTCAACCCCCTGTAAATTTAGATGAGGAGAGTGTTATCTCTAAAAGCATGTCAATAGCAAAGTTAAACAAGAATGGAGAGAGTGGACAGCCCTGACGAACACCACTTGAGGTAATCAATTCTGATGACAGTTCGCCATAAGCTCTCACTCGACCAGTTGTGCTCGAGTAGAGAGCCTTTATAAGGTTAATGTACTTCTTTGGTACTGCCATAGAACCTTACGATCGACAGAGTCGAATGCCCCCTTAAGGTCGAGAAATACTACCATTGTGGGGCGTCTGAACGTGTGTCTATGTTCTAGAACCTGACGTAGTGTGAATATCTGATCTATATAACCATATCCAGGTCGAAAACTAGCCTGGTTTTCTCTAGTCTGCTCTTCACGAGCTTTGGTTAGGCGTCGAAGTATTATTGAAGCTAATATTTTAGACATTATATTAGTCAAACTGATTCCTCTGTGATTGTCACAAGAGGACTTTTTTCCTTTCTTATAGACTGGTACAATCAGTGATTGAGACCAGTCAGATGGGATTACGTCTAGTTCCCAAATTCTACCTAAGACCTCAGTTAATCTCACTGCTAATACTGGACCACCATCCTTAAAAATCTCAGGAGTTGGAAGACCTTGATTCCAAACCAATGGTGTACATGGGCTCCAGAATCCTAAGAAAACAAATGGTGTATAAACCAGTCGTTAATCACCGGTTATCATGGGACTGCATGTCCTGACGTTGCCTTGTGGATCAGACCTTTGGGTCGAAGGCTCCGGGTGTGGCCCTCTAAGAAAACCACCAGCTTTGGTTTGAGAACCCGGGCAGTATCACAGCCCACACAAAAACCAAGTGACTTATGTGGCGCATATGTATCCGGCGCCCTTTTGTACCAATAAATAAATACTAGTATACCCACCTAAATGTCTTTGTTTGGTTTAAGCTACATACTTGAGCATTAAAGTCACCTGCTACGAGTACTGTCTGAGTGTTTAGCTTTTTGAATATCAGAAGGCTTTCTGTAAAACTCATCCTTCACCTCATCCGAGCTGCAGTCAGTGGGAACGTAGGCAACAACGACGAAAAGGCAACGACGGGTGTCCCTAACCTTCCGAGTTCTTACGGAGCCGTTTAGCTGAAAAATACATAGGCAACTTTCAACAGGGGTCCACTTTAAAAGTGCTTGTTCTGCCCTCATAATAAATGCTATGCCTACACCCTCAAGTCCACGAGAACTTGCCATTGGGTCGCCAGATAAACGGAGGGTGTACCTCTTCGGCTTCCCGTTTTAGTTAGGTGAGGTCAAATGAATGACCACACTAGGATCCTCCATGTGTTACGGAGACACAGCATACACCGATTGCATGAGATTTTAGTATAATTCAAAGTGGTCTGCTGACCGATTTCATATAGAGTCCGTACATTGAAGGGCCCAATGTATAGTTTGGAGCGAGGTTTCAGTAGACCTAGGACAGTATTCTGTGTACTAGAATCGTTGGTCATAGTGACACTTGAGCAGGAAGTATAGAGTTGATAGTTGATGTAGGAGGAATAATCGGAATTAAAGAGGGAAATCGATTACTAATATAGTGGTCTTGAGTGCTGTTAGAGGTATATGAGTGGTCGTCAATTTCCAGTTGTCCACACCGTGGAAGGGTTCTTCTAGAAATACCTGAAGGAGAAATTGGGTTAGAGGTGGTCTTAGTGACCTGAGAGCGTGACCACAGTACCCAAGGGACAATTGCTTGAGGTCGGTCACATAAGACATTTTCCTGGGTAATTTTTGTGTTAACTCCGTACGTGCTGAGACATTATCGCCGGAGACGGAAATTCGTGGGATAAGGTGAGGTGTGTGTTTTTAGGGTTGACCTTTTCTAACCCCATCCCTTCTTTGTGAGAAGGCAGCATCGCTGTTATGCTGGTTGAGGGAAACAACTTACGGCCGTCACAACCCTGTATAGTCAGCCGTACGACTTCGCCCTCGGACTTTGAGAAACGAATGTTTCAGCCAGTATAGTCCGATTAATTTATCACGGTAGGCAAGCCCGACCACCACGTGAAGATAGCAGCAACGGTCGGGCATCAAGGTTATAGGTGCTGTTTATTGGTTGGGAACACCTTGGTCCTCACTGATCTACCGTAAAAGACAATTCAGCTGGACGACAATAATCCCATGAATGAACTAGTGAGTAATGAAAATTAACCTTACTAGACCGGTAGAATGAGAAAATGAACACGTTTGATGGTAGCAACAATTTTTTGGTACGATAAACGACAGTTCCCGGTAGTATACAGTGAAAAGGTTAATAGAACAATACATTATTAGAGTGCATACATGCGACAGTTTTTCAGCGTTAACTCCCTAATAAATTCCATCAAAGAATGAACATTGATAGTCATCATTGAGGTCATTAAAATAATATAGTTTAATAAATAATGACATTAAAATATCTACACGAAAAGCGAACAATCAAGAAGCACTAATTTAACTAGGTCTATAGGATCAACAAAAATAACTACAGTACTTACAGGACAAACAAAAACGTCGAACATGCATTTGAATGAAGTCAAAGTGTTCTTCTGTGAACTGATTTTCTTTTTCCAGAGCCCCCATAGAATCAGCCTTAAAAATGAACAAAAAGTTTAATAAACTTAGTGGACAGTAACAAATATAATGTATCAAACAATCACCTAAAGAACTGTAAAATTAGTTTTTGCATACAAAGCGAATAAAATAATTAGTGAAATTTAAGAAATTACGGATCATTTTTAAATGACATTACAGTAGACTTATTGACCACTTAATCTTGTGGAATTTAAATGATTTAGATGAGTAATATGAAGTAAATACATTGTTGGTAGTATATGCTACATGAATTAAGCTATCCTACGGGACACAGATTAAAGATTGATAAACTCAAGATAATTGCTCTGTCGGCTGTCTGTCAGTTTACTTCAGTATAGTTTTTTACGTACCTTTGTCATCACTACAACTATTGGAATCCCCAAGTTGTTGATTAGAGCATTTTCATCAGTGTTTGTCTCCATAGAAATGTTTGCTTGTTCGACATTTATAACAGACGGTGGCTGAGACGCAGTTTCGGATAGTGAGTTTAATGTGCTTGAGAGAAGAGCAGCAGTTGCAGGGTGTATTCCCGATAACTTTTTTGGTGAAACAAGTCCATTAGGTTGATGATTGCCAGATGGACTGATACACATGGGCGCGACATGAGCAGTGTTAGATAGTACATCAGGTTCTAGATAACTACAGAATTGGCGCAAAACTATGTGAGGAAGAAATAAAGTTGATAATCAAGTTTTTTTAGTTTTTACTAAATAAAAGGAAATCTGAAGTAACTAAACAGTTACGAAAAATATGAATAATAAGAGTAGAATGAATATAAAGCTTATATATGCAGAACCTAGGAATGAGCCAGATGTCTAGCTATCTAAAAAAGTGTCGAAGGGGAGACAAATTACTTATTTTACTGCACATAAACAGTACCGTTTTATAAACACACAGATCAGGTGCTATTATATATGTATAAAATTATTCCCCAGTTACTCATACAGCGTATCTATGGTTGGAGTTGTAATCTACCTTTTATTATAATATGTACTTGTTTTACTGAGCTTTTTGTCTCCCTATAAGATGAATTAGCAATAATAGTGGCATGTTAACAAACACTGAGCATGTTGAGCGGTTTCAATTGACCTCAAGCATTTAATGATGTTCTGAATTGGAAATTAGTGGATAATTACCTTATGCATACAGGAGTAACAGAACATTCTTTATTTTTTTTAAAAAAACTAATTGGTGAATCTCCTGAAAGTCATTTAGTTCCCTAACACTCAAGCAAAGCTTTTAACGACAGCAAAGTTAGTACTTCTATGAAGTATAAGACTTAAATATTTTTTTGTATGAACAAGTAAACAACCATAGATTCTCAAATATTCCGTAAATAAACAAGCACAGTAATCTTTAAAAGAGAAATGTTTGTAAAGCGAGTTTCAATACATCGATATTTGAGTAACAAAAACTCGTAACGATCAGGATTCGAGGTATGCACAGTGTAGGAATACATTTGAACACTCCTACTAAGTTACTGTCAAAGTAAAGGCTTTATGGACTGGACCTACGTTCTTCGGCAGAACCTTTAAAGTAGATGGAATACGTACTAAAATACAATTGGCAGACAAAAATTAACCACAACAATAATGAAAGAACCTGAAAAACTTTAATACACTGACAAACCCTTCAAACCCTACATCTTGTAGTTTTTAACGTAAAACTTAAGAAGTCATTAAAGCTTTTTTATTTACTAAGGACCACATAACTAAATTAATTTTTTAGTGCTCACTAATCATCCACTTTATATCTATCGTAGAAACTGTTTAGGGTAAGCAGCAGTTATTGAAAAGGCTTTTTTGGACTACTATACTTTCGCTCGAAACAAAATAATCGGGGTACCATACAAAACTGCTGACAGAAAAACGCTTGCCAATCTGTTTTCTAAGAATGATTACTTCTAGAGAATAGGGAAAACTAACTATTTTTCTTGTATTCTTGAAGCTTCTCATTTGAAACTTTGAGATTACCAATATGTTCTCTTAAGATACCAACCCACTTATTTAAGCTGCTAATAATATTCCATGGTTCCATCATGCTCACACATATCATGATGAAGCAGTCTCCGAACGATTCTTCATTGATTGCGAACTTTAAAAGATGACTATGAATTGTGTTGCCATCCAAAATCCACACATTCAGCTTCGTTTGATCTAGGCGATGCAAAAACATCCGAATTAAACCGATCCATACCATCTCTGTCTTCATCCTTGATATCCAAAAGAGTGTACTCAAGTCCAAAACCTTTTTTTGGATCTTCTGTACCTTGAAGTCGAGCTATTAGAGTAGTTTTCCCACACTCGTCATCACCCAAAACAACAAGAGTTTTGGAGGGAGACAATGTCACTGCAGCCTTGTGTGTAACCTCTTCGAGTAGACTAGACCTGCACACTATTATGACTTTAGGAAGTCAAACAAACCAAAGATGCTTTTTTTCCGTACATAAATCACCTTCTTCGTATCTGTCACAATCCGTAAGAGTCGAGTGAGGCATCGTAACCTTGAAAGTAAATAAACCACTTTCCGCGACTAAATCAAATGATTCAAAGAGTCATAGACGAAAGCGAATATGTTTTGCTTAACTACCTTCCATATCTATAAACATTCTTCCACTCATCCATTCACATAAGAGTTTGAGCATGTGAAATGATCAGAAATAGGGGAAATAAAGGAAAATTCTGTGGGAATTCGTCCCTGTGAGTGTCTAGCCTGCTTATAGCGGCGGTTGGCAATATGCTTTGAACAGAATGAACATTAATCGTATGTCGATTTCCGAGCTGCTAAAATCTAACTGCCGATCACTAATCAATAAGGTGGACTACCTTCAATCCCTACTAAGTCAAAATCTGCATCGTAATTCTGGTGCTATCACAATTCAAGAATCTTGGTTAAATGATTTACAGGACGACTGTCTAGTATCACTACATGATTTCAAAATTTATCGTCAGGATTGATCAAACAATAAAAAGAGGTGTGGCGGCGGTGTAGCTACGTTTGTGAACGTGAACTGGTGCTGATCTACTTTTGCGTGTTTCAAGTTTCTAAATGACTACCGACTGTCAAACTCAAAGACTTCGTCCGAAACATCTGAATAAATACAAGTACGTTTATGTTACCAATATCTAAGTGACTCCAGATTGCACATCATCTGAGCTATCTGTTTTTGCTGATGAATACACTGAGTTCGCTGTTACTGCCTTCAGCAATTCACTATCAGTTGTATGTGGTGACTTCAATTAATGTGACTGTAGCTTCCTTACATCACTAGGTCACCAAAATGTAGTAGATTTCCCTACTCATTTGGATGCTCATTTAGACTTTGTTTTTATTAATGATGTGACTCGTAAACGTGCTCCATTTTCTAGCTCGGATCACTGTATTATTCATGTCCTACCTAAAGTATATGGAAAGCATGGAAAGAGTAAACTCTTACATCATACCACGAAAACCAAATATATATCCGAAATCTCAAAATCATGTTTCATACGACGAACTAGGAACTATTTACAGATGACTCACTTGAAATCACTACTGATGTTATCACTTGTTACCTTAAATTTTATGTTGATATTTGTTGTCCCACTGAAACCATTTTTGTAAGCCTTGATCGACTTAAATCTTCACAGATAAAACAACTATGGAGGGTGAAAGAAAGAATGTAGAAGGAGAAAAACTCTCATGAAGTTCATAAGCTAAATAATCTGATAAACCTAGAGATTAGAAGTCTCAACTATATCTTTCCCAACTAATCTCATACCGAAAATGTAGAGAAAGATAAAGAAAATTCCTATACTCAGGAAAGTATCTAGTGATAAAAATGTGAAATTTAGAGCTATTGCAATAACTTCACCCTTCCTCAAAACAATAAAATTTTTTAATACTTCCAATCCAGCCTGCAATAAAAGAGTACATTGATCCGTATAAGTTTGCTTACAGATTCTCCTCCCACTTTCTCCTGGTGGTTGACTGGACTATGAAGAACTCGTTAGCTGAGAGGAAACACGGAATACAATGGACAGCTCGGAATCAATTAGACGATTTGGACTTCTCAGATGATCTGGCCCTCCTATCCCACACACACGAACAAATGCGGATGAAGACAACGAGTGTAGCAGCAGCCCCTGCATCAGTAGGCCTCAGTATACACAAGGGAAAAAGCAAGATCCTGAAATACAACACGGAAAGCATCAACCCAATCACACTTGATGGAGAAACTCTGGGAGAGGTGGAAACTTTCACGTACCTGGACAGCATCATCAATGAACAAGGAGGATCCGATGCAGGCGTGAAGGCACGGGTTGGCAAAGCAAAGCCAGCATTTCAACAATTGAGGAACATGTGGAACTCTAAACAACTGTTAACCAATATCAAAGTCAGAATCTACAATACGAACGTCAAGACTGTCCTACTGTACGGAGCTGAAACTTGGAAAACTACTACAACCATCATCAAAACGGTGCAGGTATTTATAAACAATTGTCTATGTAAGATACTCAATGTTTGTTGACCGGAAAACATCAGCAGCAGCCTACTGTGGGAGAGAACAAACCAGCTTCAGCTGAAGAGGAAATTATGAAAAGACGTTAGAAGTGGATATGACATACATTATGGAAATCATCAAACTGTTTCACGAAGCAAGCCGTAATTTGGAATCTTGGGAAAAACGGAAAGGAGGAAGTCCAAAGAACACACTACGTCGAGAATTGGAAGCAAACTTGAAAAGGATGAATAAAAACTGGAAAGGATTGCTCAGCACAGAGTTGGATGGAGAATGCTAATGATCAGCCAATGCTCTTCCACGAGGGATAAGAGGCATAAGTGAGCAAGTTTCAGTCTAAGAAATTATTATTATTATTCACAAACAGCTAATGGGTACATAAGTTTTGTGAATAAACCACTTTAAGTTATTTCAGAAATGCAATGAAACACATGTTTCAGTAACGTTAGCATAATATCTGCCATATTTAAGCAGGTTTTATGGCATTGCGAAGAATATTGAGATAAATTTAAGTAACTTATTGATATTTAGGTTCCCTTGAGATAACTTTGAATGGTCCATCGGATGGAGGGCTATGTGCTACATTTATTTTGTTACACTATATCCAGACGTGCTTACAATTATTTAGATCCTAAAGTACATATGTCGCTCGCGATTGTTCACCAGTAGTTATTGGTTTAAGTTTGTACATATGGTCCCATAGTTGGTCTACGTAACCTTCTAAATCATACAGGCGTAAGTAAGTAATTGTTTCATTTCAGCAAGTTACATAGTGTGACAATGCAAACCTGACCAGCTGTTCAAGTTTTTTGATTATCATTAGGGTTCGAAACTGTTAATATGACGAGTTACTATATTTGGTTTCCTCAGTTGCTATCAATTGACTGCAACATTATATCAGTCGTTTCAACAGTCAAATCGTGTACGTAGTCAAAATATTTAGTTTTAAATGTCTTTATTTTGAGTTTGGATGGATTTAATAAAACTACCGTACACTTTTCACTTTTGGCACTGAATTTTTTTAGCCATAATTTTTACATAGCATCTATAATTATCTAGTGTTTTTTCATATATAGTCATTTCTTACTCGCCTCTCGGTCAGTGTGCAAAGAGATAATGCTCAAGCAAATATTTCAAATAATACAATATCTGGTAATTCGGATTCTGTCATGGATCAGCTTGGAACAACTACTGCCTTGATGAATACATCTTCCAATGTTGGAAGTAGACCAGTTTCTGGATCTCCTCGTACACCTGGTTCTGCTGGTAGATCAAAGGTATTCGACCAAATATTTTTGTCACGGTACTTAATTTATTTGGTAAACAAGATCTATTATTTCAATTTTCACGACTACTTTTAATTTCCAAAGGATTATTTTCTACATTTAATAATTTTCTTCATTTGTGAGAGCCTACCGTTTGATAACTATTTTGAAAGCTTTGTGATCATCATCAAGCTGTTTCACGAATCAGTCTCTAATTTGGAAAACCTTTTACTACTTACAAGTAATCAAAGTCTAGAATTTCCTTACAGCCGAGTTAGTTCAGTCTGCTCTCCTCGAGTCCTTCTATGGAAACGATATATCTTCAAGAATTCATCGGAGTCTTATTATTATTTAAGAATTTTCCTTTTTTATTACATGCATCAAGGCCGCTACCTGTAGGCTTCAGTGTTCCATCGCTACTCGGTACGGAAGTCCGTTAAAAGTGAAATGTTTCTCTTTCATCCACAACTATCTGAGGCACAAATGGTCCTAAGTCTCCAGTAATAAGGACGACCTGTATTAATCCTAACAGTTTGCCTTCTAGTGAAGGTCCAGCTTCTTCTTGAAAATGTTCACTAATGGGGCCGACACCACCAAAACCCTCACTTGGAGCTGTAAGTTTTATCCAGTTGATATGCAGAGCGTTGAAGTCTCCAGTGATGAGACGTTTTGACTTACTCCAAGAACAGATGCGTCGTAAGATAATTCGTCGGCAATACAACATGGACCACGGTATATTCTTTCTTTTGTCACTAACTCATGTGTCGATCTAATTGTGCAACATACTACCTCACACTTACCACTACCATGCGCCTCTAATATGATCGGTTATATACGAAAGTGATCACTAACACATAACATTATGCCCGCTCCCTTGAGATTTATAACTATATCACTTCTAATGTAGATGTAACCTGGATTGATGGGAGAACAGTCTATATCTACGGTGAGCCATTTTTTGACAACAATTATGTCAGGACTAAATAATTCCACCATCAAAATTAGCTCAGACGTTTTATTTTGAAGACTATGAACGTCCGTGTAACTCACATTTAAGGTATTTCGGGAATCATTCGTTCTACCCATACCACCCGTAAGCCCTTAATCGCAAGGTTCGCTTAGCCATTTAACTTTCGAGTTCCTAACTCCGTAAGGGCATTCTTCTACTTCATTCGATCCTCAAGCGGCCAATCTGGTCGGATACAAATAGTTGAATTACGAGTTTCGTATGCATTATTCAATAATACGTCTCTTTCATCAAAATTCCCGAGTACTAACGTCAAAACCCTTCTTGTTTGGGTCTCGCCTCCAACCCATTTGCTGAGTCGCATTACTTTCGTGGTATGTACCCGTGAAACGTTTTCAGGAAGTGCATTTCTGATGGCAAAGTCCAATAACTCTAGACCGTGTGCATGTCCTTTAGTAGGGGTTATTGTCTCCCAATTCCTCTAAATTCACAATAACTAAACTAGGAACGAGTTTAACTTTTTTTAAAGTCGTGTTCACGGCTTTCGGCCATGATATCAGATTCTACCTGGCTATTCTTGTAACAGAGTCATGGGAGTGGAGCGAATGACTCACGACAGTGTTTGACGAGGCCAAACTTTTCCCATCTACGATAAAGCTAAATATTGTCTTAGTTTGGGACTTTGGTGGAGTAATCTGCAACTAAAAATGTGAGTTCATTAGGTACTTTTCAACTAAACAAGTGCTACTTTTGGCTATCATTCTTTCTCATCAATGTTTCCATATCATCCATTTCCCATCACTCGCTGCTGTAGCAACTTGGCCACTATACTCTAATGGTGGATCGTTAATTGATTGTTTCGGGATAGAAAAACCTGTTGCGTGTTGCACAGTTGGGTGTCAGGCAGGTGCCGTGACAGTTCTTACGACACTGACGCATTCTTCGTTATCAGTACCCATGTTATCAGTACAACCCTCATCAACCTTCTTGTTAGCCAACGCCAGAAGTCTAGGTGCCTTTTGGATGACTAATTTTTTACTCAAACAAGAAAACATTCAAAGCCAATGAGAGTCAAGATTTGAGCATTTTTTAGGCAGAGAGATTTAAGCGTGTACACATCTTATAGAACCACGTCCTACACTCATCACATTCCATTCCTTCATCCACGAAGAATGAGCAATATTGCTGCCCACGTTTGTGAGTAGGGCTGACCATCTTGAAAATTAACTAAAAAGCGATAACACGAAAATGGATATGTATAAAAGTTTCAAACCTTAACCGAATAAATCACGTCAAAGTCGATCAAGCATGCCTTGATGCAATAAATACACAAAAGGTAAAGTCAGCACAAGTAGGATATAACCTTGAATGAAATAAATTCAATTAAAGTGTAAGCAGTAGTTTTGACGCTTAATTAACGATCAAAACATTTAGTTTAACTCAACAGAAAATAATACCACTGAATTTTTAAATAGCGCGCGCATATATAATACGGGAAGTTTGAGGGTTGTTAATAGAAAGACTATTTTTGGTGAGGATGACGTAAAAAAGCACTGTGAGAACGATAAGTTGGGTAGAACGAAACAATCAGATTTAAGGTAGAGTCTTGATTTTCGCACAAATTCATATATGCTGATTTCATAGCATTTCGACATCAAAGCTGATAACAGCTTATAATGAAAGCTTTTACTGTAATCTCAAAACACTCAGTCTCCACATTTCTCTCATAACTTATCCCCTCAAACTATTCCACAGCCTCCTTTTTGCTGTATTAAATTGATGCTTTTAAGGTCACTTTAGCGTCATTCGACCTGAAGGATAAATGGACTCGAAATGAGGCATACGTAGATGACTGACGTCGTCTTCTTTGTCTAGTTTGTGGTTGTAAGAAGTTGCATGATATTCAGAAGAATAATGATCAATACCGTCACAAGACTAACTTACTTACTTACGCCTGTTACTCCTAATGGAGCATAGGCCGCCGACCAGCATTCTCCAACCCACTCTGTCCTGAGCCTTCTTCTCTAATTCCATCCAATTCTTGTTCATGTCTATCTCCATTTCCCAGCGTAATGTGTTCTTTCGTCTTCCTCTTTTCCTTTGGCCTTGAGGATTCCACGTGAGGGCTTGTCTTGTGACGCAGTTGGGTGCTTTACTCAATGTGTGTCCTATCCACTTCCAGCGCTTCTTCTTGATTTCTTCCTCCGCTGGGATCTGCTTTGTTCTCTCCCACAGTACGTTGTTGCTAATAGTGTCCGGCCAACGGGTCCGAAGTATTTTGCGTAGACAACTGTTAATAAACACCTGTATTTTCTGGATGATGGCTTTCGAAGTTCTCCAGGTTTCTGCCCCATACAGTAGAACTGTCTTGACATTTGTATTGAAAATTGTGACCTTGGTGTTGGTTGACAGTTGCTTTGAGCTCCAGATGTTCCTCAGTTGTAAATATGCTGCTCTTGCTTTACCGATCCGCGCCTTCACAACTGCATCAGATCCACCGTTTTCATCAATGATGCTGCCCAAATATGTAAAGGTTTTTACATCTTCCAAATCTTCTCCGTCAATTGTGATTGGATTGGTGCATGCTGTGTTGTGTAGGAGAATCTTGCTTTTCCCTTTGTGTATATTGGGACCTACTGCTGCTGAGGCTGCTCCAACACTGGTCGTCTTCTCCTGCATCTGTTGTTGCGTTTGGGATAGAAGGGCCAGATCATCTGCGAAGTCTAGATCGTCCAACTGCATCTTAGATGTCCATTGTATCCCGTGTTTCCCTTCAGATGTTGATGTCTTCATGATCCAGTCGATCACCAGGAGAAAGAGAAAGGGTGAGAGTAAGCAACCTTGCCTAACACCGGTCTTCACTTCGAACGACTTTGTCAATTGTCCTCCATGCACGATTTTGCAGTTTAATCCATCACATGAGTTCTGCATGATATTGACTATATTCCGAGGCACCCCGTAGTGTCGAAGAAGTTTCCATAGTGTTGTTCTGTCCACGCTATCAAATGCCTTTTCGTAGTCAATGAAGTTGATGTAGAGTGATGAATTCCATTCAATTGATTGTTCCACAATGATCCGTAGAGTTGCGATTTGGTCTGTACACGATCTATCCTTACGGAATCCTGCCTGTTGGTCACGAAGTTGGGCGTCTACGCAGTCCTTCATTCTGTTTAACAATACCGTGTTGATGACTTTTCCCGGTATTGAGAGAAGAGTGATGCCCCTGTAGTTATCACACTTGCTGAGATCGCCTTTCTTCGGTATTTTGATCAGAAGTTCTTCCTTCCAGTTTGTTGGTACTTGTTCCTCATCCCAAATCTTATTGAAGAGAATGTGGAGTATCCTTGCAGTTACCGCTACGTCTGCTTTCAGTGCCTCTGCTGGAATGTTGTCTGGTCTCACTGCTTTGTCACTCTTGATTTGTCTGACGGCCATGCCTATCTCTTCAACTGTTGGTGGGCCAACATCGATTGGGAGGTCCGTGTGTGCTGCTTCGATGTTGGGTGGGTTCAGTGGAGCTGATCGATTCAAGAGTTCTTTGAAGTGTTCTACCCACCTGTTTCGTTGCTCCTCAATGTTGGTGATTACCTCGCCTTCCTTGCTTTTCACTGGTCGTTCTGGTTTGCGGCGATTTCCAGAGAGTTTCTGTGTCGTGTCATACAATTATCTCATGTTTCCTTCTCTTGCAGCCTTTTCCGCCGTCGTTGCTAAATCTTCCACATATTTACGTTTGTCGGTTCTGATGCTCCGCTTCACTTGTTTGTTTACTTCTGTGTATTCAGCTTGTGCCTTGGCTTTTTCTGCTCTTGTTCGACTGGTATTGATTGTTGCTTTCTTGTTCATCCTTTCTTGAATCTTATCCAGTGTATCAACAGTGATCCATTCCTTGTGATGGTGCTTCTTATTGCTCAGAACCTCATGGCATGTTGAAGTGATTGCTTCTATGATCCCCTTCCAGTTGCTGTCCACAGTAGTTCCTTCTCCATTGAGTAGATCATGAAAGGCCTGTAACTTATTGCTGAGGACTATCTTGAGTTTGTTGAGTTTGTTAGTATCCCAAAGAAAGGCCGT